TGAAGCACTTTTAGGTTTTTCATGATTTTTTTCAGGCCATAATTTTGATAGTAGTTGCATTTGTATTTATTATTTCTAGGAAGTTTTCACCAAAGACTAAAAATATGGTATCTTGGATTTTCGAAGCCATGATTCTTCAAAGTGATCTGTATTGTCTCACAAACAATTAATTAAATAATATTGTTAATAAATTTATTTATATTATTAATAACTGCAATAATTATTGTTTGATTAATATTCTTCTCATAATATATCTTACAATATTTTCTTGTGAGGCCTTCGAAGAACTTTGAATGTTCTTGCTGAAAATATTTCTCTGTATGCTAGCAAAAATCTTCAAAATCTACATAAATATATTTATAAAGACTTCTTTTGTAATACTCTTTACTGCATGTTATTATAGAATCCAAAATATTATTGAAGTTCTTCAAAGATTAAAAATGAATCTTATCTCGATAAAATCCTATTCAGTAATTAAATGTTAACTTGTGTGAATTTTGTTTTCTAGATGGATAACCTTATCCTCGATGGCTTTTTAACATTCTAATAACTGATCAATTTTCTTATGAAGACTTTGTGGGACTCCAAAAGCCTCTCGATTACTATATTAAAAACTAAATATACAAATTTGTATTTATTTAAATAGTTACATCTTTTTTAATATATCTAAAGATTCTTCAATCAACCTCTTAGCAGGTGAAGATTCTAAAATATAACTGAGAAATCTTAATCACTTCTGGAGTAACTCTGTTTCTGTTTTGGCTTGAGATATTAGTCTTCATTCTTTAGCTTGACCTGGGACTGGGAATACTCTTGAACTTTTTGGAGGGCTTCGAAGTACCCTTTTCACTAGAGCTTGAACCTGAAATCATTTGTTGAAATATGTTACATATTTCTTTTCTTTTATTTGACATTATAAAAAAAAAAGAACTTTAGAGACCTTATATAACACAAATTCCAAGAAGTTATATTATATTATAACTATATGCAACTCTTTGTCACCTTTCAAAATTATTTATAACTTTAAAAATGAAATAATATTAAAATCTTATTGATAAAATTATGATAACTTATAAATTAAATTTTTGATTGGCTAAAATTATTCAGTATTTTATTGGTTAATTTTATTTTAATATACATATTATTACTTTGAATATTTCTGAAATTTTTGAAATAAAAAATATTTAAAATTTTTTATTATTAAAATTAATAAAATTATTTTTGTTTTACAAATTTTCAAAAATTTTAAAGTTTTTCTAAAAATTTCTAGAAAATTTTTAATAGATGAAAATCTCTGAAATTCATTATCAAAAAAATTTCCTAATATACTAATTAATAAATACAAATATATAATAAAGATTAAAAAACTATATATTATTAGCAATAGGGCAATACTAAAATGTGACTATTCCTCTATAGATTTTCTATTTAGGACAATAGGAAAAACACTTCTCAAAACAAAGTGGACAAGCAAATGAAGAGCCTTGAGTCAAAACTAGAATTGGCTCATAGTTTAAAAAGTAAAAAAAATTAACTGGGGTATAATTATACAAACATTAATGCTATTCAAAATTACATCTCTTCAGATTAATCAGAATAACTATAGAAATAGAACCTTTTATTGAAAGGATAACTAAACAAACATTTTACTTTGACAAATATAAATATAAGAAAGTTATACTGTATTTATATAACAACTCTATAGGTATAATATATATATAATAGAAGAAAAAAGATTTCTACTTATTCACATATGAACTGAATAGAATAAGGTTAATAAAAAATATATATACTATTTTTTACTGAGAAGTATGCAATTAGAGCAAATAGTAAGAAAACAATTGAAGCTATAAAAAATAGATAAAAAGATTTCTTTGAACTAATAACAATAAGAAAATCAGAAAGATCAAATATAATAGAATGAATTAATATTATCAAAAGAATCATTATCCACAAAATAAGACAAATGGTAAAGAAAATTATTAGAGATGAGAAAACAGTCAGAATAATAATAAAAAAGTTACAATATGATTTTGACAAAAAAAAAAAAAATCTGGAAGCTAAGATATAAACAAGTAATAAAATGGAAAAAGTTATAGGGAATTACTAAAAAAATAAAAACAAAAAAAAACAAAAAACTATAAGAGAAAAGTCAAGAAGGAAACATTATAGAAAAATAAAAAATCTTTGAATTCTCATAAATACTTTTATATAAACTTAACAAATTTAAGTATGAAAAATATTTTTTAAAATGTGTACTTTTCAAACCTACTTTTTTTTATAAATATTATATTAGTAGAGTTATAATATACTGATATTCACTTCCAAGTGAACTATAGCAGGTCACAAAATTTATCCAGATACTAAATTATTAGTTTTTTATTTATTATAAATATATTTTCTTGTAATTCAATTTGTATATATAATAAGACATTAATAATTAAATAAAAATTATATGGCATGACTTTATTAGCTTAAAAAAAAAAGAAATGAAAAATTATATATATGTAATTAATAAAAAGAAGAATAAAATAAAAAACAATAGAATAAAAACAATAATATATAATACAATATTAAACAAGTATGTCTATTATATATCTTGTTATTTATTAATAACAAACACAACTATTACTATAAATTTATTGATATGTGTCTATATTTTATTAATAATTTGGATCTTGTATTACCTTGGAGTTTCAGGATTAGTGGTCAGATCATGTGACCTAAAATATCATGTATTCTTAGTAAATCATTAATGTTTTCATGTCTAATCCTTGATTATCTTGAAATTATATTTCACAATATCTTTTTAATCTTTAAGAAAAAATGTTTATCTCATTATAATATCTTAGTTTTTAAGACTGTTTAAGCAGTTATCTTCTGACTTTCAGGTATAAAGTCATGCTTTCATCAGGTAACTTAGATAAACTTGTAAATTAAAAGATTCATATTATAAAATATTTTGATTTTTATATTACAATTGACTAATTATTAGTATAGTTATATTAATTAAAATAATATTTTTTTTAAAAACAAATAAGTAATTTAATATATCAAAAGATTTTAAATAATTTTATATTATTTAAAAATTATATACTGTATTTAAAATTTTACTTTATTTAATTATTACTTATAAAATGATGATCAATTTTATATTCTGTTTAGAATATTTTATAACTAATTATTTAATTTGAATTGTCTTTATATTTTAAAAAAAATGAAATAAAATTTAACATACAGTATAAAGGTTTTAAATACTTTTATATCAATAAAGAATATATATTTAAAATTTTATTTGATTTACTCATTATTTATAAAGTATACCAATTTTTATATTCCAGTTTTGAACATCCCATACTTTATATCATATTTGTGTTATAAATCATTTGCCAATTCGTTGTAAAAAACTCGAAATTGAGAAGCGAAAGCTTCTTATATAAGTCCACGATATTCTTCCTAGGAAAGAAAATAAAGTCCACAATATTCTTCCTAGTAAAGAAAATAACGTCCACGATATTCTTCCTAGTAAAGAAAATAGTTGAATACAAAAATTACCTCATAATAAATTCACAAACAGTAAATTAATGCTTACCAATCCATCAAACCAAATATTTGGAACGATTTTCCAATACATGAGCTTGCCCAAATTATCTTTTGTCATTTTGAAATAATATGTTTTCTGAGAGTCATGAAAAAAATTTTCTCCTTCCCTTTCTTCGAACACATCAATTTTTTTTCTTATAGTTACTACTCTTTTACCTATACGCTTTCCATCTTTCATCGCATATTTGCTCGTAAATATAAGTGAAGAATATTTTGAGAAATTAACATTTACTTGAGAATGATAATCCGATTGCAAAACTTCTGTTTGCATTAACTTTAAATCCACTAAACGAATTAAGTTTGTACTAGAGTCATATATAGGAGTAACAGGGCATTTGATGAATAGAGTACTCAATCTTCCGGGGTCAGGTAACAGAACCTGCGAAAGAAAATTATTCATGTAACAGATAATACTAGTAATGAAGTAAATAATTTTGGCAAAATATTACCTCAATTGACCATTCTCCAGAAAATATGAGAGAAAATATATCATTAATAACAATCGGTATTAATTCATTCCATTTTTTACAAGTACGGCGTAATTTAAAGAAATCTCGAAAGTTGCTATTACTAATTTATTAATACATATTTCGACTGAAGAATTTCAAAAATTAAGGAAAAATACCTTATATCTATTAAAAATATTTCAAGAATTTCAATCCAGATCTCATTTGGAAAGTCTATTCCTGCTGTTTTACCCGTATTATCCGCACTCTCAGACATTCTACCACAACATGTACGACATAATTTTGACTTTTTTTATCATGAGGATCTCCCATATTAAGGTGTGACCAACATTGATCGCTGAACGGTCAACTCTTTTACAACATCACATCATCTAATCATAATATTCATAATAAAATCTAAATACCCTGAAATTTTCGCGAGTTTTGATTAACTTTTTATTATTGACATTTAAGCTTTATATTTACACGAAATTTTTCTTAATATTTGACGTTCATTATAATTTGCATCTTATTTTTAAAATTAGTATTTTAGTAAACAATATGTTATTAATTAATATTGGTTATTAATTAATAATGGTTATTATATTTTAAATTATTTGTGTATTGGTTTTTATAAATTTTTATTTAATATATAAAAATTTATCTGGTTTTTTTTTAATGTTGTCTCAACCCTTAATTAATATATTCTTGTGAAAAATATTTATATTGTAACTTGTTGTCACTCATTTATAGAGAATTAATCTGCCAAGGTTAGGTTAGAACTAAAGATAGATCCCTAAAGAGGAAGGTAGAAACAAATGTTTCTTATTAGAAAACATTAAAATTTTTAATTTAATAGCTATATAAAAACTATCTGAATAATTTTCAATTATTAAAAACTTTAATTTATAATATTTTCTAAATTTTATTTTTTTAAAATTAAGAACTATATTTTGTTTCTCAAAAAGAGATATGAGTAATCTGCAAAATTTTATATATCAAATATTTTAGGGACCTATTATTAGTTAGAACTAAAATAAATTTTAAATATATAATAGTTATCTGTGATACTAGTTATTAATTAATCTATAAATCATAATAATTAATAATAATATTTTTTTTTTAATCTACAATCATACTACAATGGCAAGTCTTTATTGAATAACTGAAATGAATTTACAATATTTCACAAAGTAACTAATTCTCTTCATATAAAAGTACTCTAAGTCAGATTTTGGAAACAATATTTCACTCTTTAATAGATTGATAATAATCTCTATATATCAAGATCATTATCAACAGTTTGTCATTATTGATTGTCCGAAAACTAATAAATTACTAAATTAAAAAGAAAAAAGAGAAAAAATAATTGGGAAAGAGGACAATTCAAGATCTATCAAAAAAATCTAAAAATAAAAACAATCTCTTCTCAAAAAGGATCTACCTGATTGAAATAGTTTTCTTGCTTCACTTGAACCTCAGAAAAAATTTTCTTTTTCACTATCTGTGGCATTGAATGAGTTAATCCAACTGGTCTTTCATTTAAGGAAGCATCAGATTGAGATATCTCAAGAAAAGTATTTAAACTTTAGCTTTTTTCCATTAAAGCTTTGTCATCACTTGAAGAACTTAGGTAAGAGATAATAGTTTTTAATCCACATTATCTATTACTTGGTCTTTTGGTATTATGAAAGTTTTATTGAGAGACTTGAGATTTTTGAGGCAACCATTTCCAGAACCTTCTTTTCAATTAACAATAATGTCATTGAAACACATGAATATAACCAATAGGAGCTTGTTTATATTCCAAAAACTAATGTGTTTCATGTCAGCCAATTACCTTTGATAAGGATTTGTGCTATAAAAAATTAGGGTCAAACTGAGGTAGGCAAAATTCTCCAGAAAACCATGAAAGCGATAGCCCTAAGAGGTCCACAAGTGACTGGAAGGAGAAAAATAAATCCTTTTGTTATAAAAAATCCCTATATACCTCTCACTTCAAAGGTTAAATAGGCCTTTAGGTACTTCATAGTCAGTTCTTCTTCCTTTGGAAACTTTCTTACTATTGGTATCAAAGATGTTACTTGACTTTTCTTGGTCACTTGAAGTTAAGTTTTTGAGTGAAAAGGTTTATAAACAAAAGAGAAAAGGTAGAAGTAACTCTTGAAGTCATACTTCAAGTTGTTTTAATAAAAGTATTAAGACTTTATTAGCAAAGAAGCATGAAAACTTCTTGCAACATCTTTTTTGTGTATGGTTAGAGAATTAGCAAAAAAAGTACTAATAATTATTAATAATATATCTATACATCTATATAAAATATTTATCAAACTTTTTTTTATTTATCACTTTTTTAAAAACTAAATTTTTATATAAAGAAATTCTTATAAAAGTAAATAATGAAGTAGAGTTTTATATACTGTAAATCAATATCATAATAAAAATTTCTATAGAGATTAGTTTTTTTTATAGCACTGTTTTTAAATACTAGAGACTAACTGAACAATTATTTCAAGTTAAGTAGCTCTTTATAAAATAGATAGAAAGAGTCTCCTCTGTTTGTTTCGGTAACTCTAAATAAATTGCCACTTCTACTCAATATGTAAATATTGGCTCTTTTAAAAAGAAGAGAAAATGAAAACTATATAAAAATTGGTTTCAAGAGAGAAAAAAGTCAGATTTACCTGCTCACAAATAATCAAAAGTCAAACAATTACTGTCCTCAAAGATATACAAGTGTACAGTCTGTAAAAAAGACTTTAATAGTTACTTAGCAAGAAAGAGACACTTCAATAGTATATACAAACTGGTAGCTATAGAAGTTGAAATATCAAAAACTTCAAAAAAATAAGTAAAAAGTCATCCATTTCACTACTGTAAACAATGCAACAAAGCTTATTAATACTGATATCAATAATATAAATATGGATTCAGTTATTGATCTATCAAATCATTAGGACAAGATAAACTAGGCAATTATCTACTTGTTCCTAAAAGTAGATCAAAAATAACTTTTTTTAATAACAAACTACAATCCAGTTAATAATTTCTTTGATTTAGTTGTAAGGGACTATGCTATATATAAAACTTTATCTATCAGTCAGAAAAATGATTTCAAAGATTGAGCAAATAAAAAAATTCTTGATAACAAATTGTGCTTCAAATATAAGAATATCTTAAAAGATATTCCTATCTAGATAAAACTAATATAAAAAAGTAAACTATATATTATTAATATATTCATTAATATATACTTGTTGAGATTTTGCAAGTCTAGTGATTGGAAAACCTTGATAGAAGAAAAAATTTACTGGTATTACACTGAAGTAACTAAAATCTTTGATACAAGTTAGAATAAATAACAGTTCGATTTTTTTTTATATAACTCACAATCATACTATAATGGCATATCTTTATTGAGATATTAAGAAATACCTAAATATTTTACAAACTTTTACAAAGCGACTAACTTGTTGTTGTACATTATTAGTTAAAAAACTATATTACTTAAAAAATATGAGGAATTTACTAAACTAGTTTGGACTAAACAAAACTAAATCTAAACTAGGTACTCTAAGTCAGATTTAAGGGACAATATCTTGCTCTCCTAGTAGCTTGACAATGGTACCTCTAAGTTAACAAGGATTATTTCTAATAGTTTGTCACTATTGATTATCCTGAAAAATGATGAATTGCTAAAGTTGGTACTGAAAAAAAGGGAAGAAGGAATACAATTCAACACCTTCCAAAAGATTCTTGCTTCATTTCACAGTTTTCTTTCAAAAGGTGTTTGCCTAATTGGGATATTCTCTAAGCTTCATGATGTTTGAAGAACTTAGCTATTCCTGAAAGTGACTTCAAGAAAAATATTTGAGGAACCTATCCTTTTATGATATACAGATTCACTTATCACTAGTAAAGTCAGCACTATATTATGAAAGAGTTTGCCTAACCAGAATAAAGAAATCTTTTTAAGAACTTTGCCTGACTGAAATAAAAGCTTGGAGACCTTAGTTCTTGTCCAAGAAAATCTTTTTACCATCTGAGAAACTTAATGAGAGATAGGAATTGGATCTTCTATTCCTATTTGTCACTCATCTTTCAATATTATAATTGTTTCCTAGAGGTTAAACATATATGATTGAAGGGGACACTTTTTCTGGAACTTTCTTTTCTATATTACCAATAATATATTGAGACATGTGAGTGTGACCAATAGAAGATTGTTTATATTCCAAAAACTGACATGTTTCATGTTATCAAATTACTTTTGGTGAGAATTTGTACTATTAAAAATTTAGGGTCAAATAGAGATAGACAAAATTCTTCAAAAAACCATAAATATGAAAGCTCTAAGAGGGCCAAGACAGTTAAAAAGGGAGAAAATAAGCCTTTTTACTATAGAAAACCTCTATAAACCTCTCGCTTTAAATGTTAGAAAGACCTTCAAGTATTTTACAGTCAATTTTTCTTTCTTTGAAACCTTTCTTGCTATTGGTATCAAAGGTACTACTACTTTTCTTGATCACTAGAAGTCAAATTTTTGTGTAAAAAGATTTGTAAACAATAGGGGAAGAATAGAATCGATTTTTGAAGTCATACTTCAAGTAAGTTGTTTTAAAAAAATGTTAAGATTTTATTAGCAAGGAAGTGTAAAAACTTCTTGTAAACATTTTTTTTTGTATGGTCAAAGGATCAGCAGAAAAGGATATAAACTATAATATAAATATATAACAGTTTGATAACCAAATTACTTTAAAAAATTATTTTAGAAAAAATGAATATAGTATCACATGTTCTTTCTTATTGGTTGTTATACATAGTAATTATATAATTAGATGATTTTTTTATATTAAAATAGTCTAAATATAATTATATAATTAGTTTCTATAACAATACTACAATATATAATATATTACTTGTATTGGTATACAAGTTTAAGCTGTATTTGACATTATATAATATATTTAATAAAGAATATAATCAGAAAAGCTGTTTCAATAACCTACTGGAATCAATAATTATATAGGAGATAAGAAAGATAATTACTGAAAGAAGCTCCAAACCAGTACCAGAACTAAATAATATTTCATATCTAGCCTATAAAAATCTAGGACTAAAAGCTCTCACACAACTTATAAAACTGTATAACATAATTTTACTCAAAGAAAAAAATCAAGAGAATAGAGAAATGAACACATATATTCTATTTTCAAATCCAGAGAGTGGCAAAATAGAATTAGATTAATTAGATCTTTATACTATTTATTATAGGAA